GATTTTTTAAATTCCGAAATTATCCTTTTTAATCGCTTGCCTTGTCTTGGTCAAATCTAATAATTGCCAAAAAATATATTTTTTTTTTGATTTTAAGTAATCTGAGCATGCATAATACTTAAATGACATGTAATCAATGTATTCTTATAGTTTCGAGCATTTTTATTAATCCTAGTAAATTATATTGACCTCAAAAGAGAATAACTCATTTTGTGACTTGTAATCCCTAAGGGAAAATAAACACTCGATCCGCGACTTCTTAGAATTGTCGTAGAGAGGGGAGGTTCATGGAGGATCATTACGATAGCAAATACTAAAATATGAGTCCGATGGCGGCCGCATTGCAGGATTGGCTATTATTTTTGACCATGATGCAATAATACAAGGTGGTATCAGTTGTGACAGCTCGATTTGACACTGCCTTAGCTCAGTAGAACAAGAAGAAAAACGGGAAGAAATTAATCCCTGTTTGGGGGAAAAATATAAAATTTAATATTCTCTTCTAAACAAAATTTGCTTTTTTATAGTATATTCTTAATGAAAATAAATAAAATAAGATAAACTACCTTTTTGAGAAAACAAAATGTGTATACTGAAAAAAAAAATAAAATTCAACTAAATTATTAAGCAAAGAATAGTTAAGGAAGTAACACTGTTTCACCCAAGGCAGTCAATATGGCTGAATTAGAGCGAGAAGTTGCCAACTGATACCACCTTGTATTATTGCATCATGATTTTTGACGTATTCTAACCCAGTAGAACTTGGGAGCATCGTACGATTGCTCGGTGAGTACTCCCTGGGGAGTATACAAATACTCCCCATTGCTCCCTATGCTTCTGTGTATAAGCATGTAATTTCGTATACTCCCTTTAACATTGTATGTCCTAGGAAGGGGAGTAATCCCATTTACCTCCTAATCGAGCAATCGGGGAGCACACACAGAAATATCATCCCACAAACCTCCTAAAGGAGCAATACGGGAGTACTTCCATAAAAACTTCCCCTATACCTCCCAAAAAGACAACAAGGGAGTGCACATAGAAAAACATCCTATATTCCTCCCAAACGAGCAAAAAGTGAATACTCCCATGGGAGGCATCCCGAAAGCCTCTTGTACGAGTAATAAAAGAGCGTTTCATTGCCCCCCACAATAGCTAGACGATTTTGCTATTTACGCAATCCATTTATTTAATTTTTTAAACACATGTTTGTATACAATATTAAAAGATCTTAACTGATACCTATAAGTACGAGATCAGACAAAACATAAATAATACTTATTAATTGTACATTATTGATTAATTGTGGAGTTGCTGTTGCGAACAAATGCATTAAAAGTAAAACAGAATAATAATAAAATGGTAAGATAACTACATGATGTCCTGGGTTTCAGGGATGCTTGGGTATTCAGGAGTTCACGCAAACTTTCTTGTTTTAATGTGTAGGTGCCTTTGCCCATCCGATATCTTTGTCACCCAGTAAAAGATCTGGACCGGCCTGATATGAACGTTAAAACCACGGAGTCATGCGTAAGTGCTGACACTCCTAATAATTTGCCAAATCTGAAAAGTATTTAGCGGTATCTAATACAATATTTATTAAAATTAAACAAAAGTTGCAATACATACCGACGCACCTTCATTTAAATGTGTCCTATCGACAATAAATTATTGCATCCTCCTTATATTGTTTCTATATGAAATATTTTCTGTAGTTTTCCTTATGATAATTTTTCCAATAACACAAAAATT